CTCAGTGTTTTCTGCCCAAACATCTTGAGTTTAAGCGGGGGTGTGAGAATAATATTAGTATAGTATATATTATGTGAATATTGTTTCTTATTTAGGATTGGTTTAGGTTTATTCTTTTTTCCTACTTAGGATTAGTTAAGGTTTATTCTTGTTTCCTATTTAGGATTAGGTCTAGAATTGCTATATATATATGATGTACACATTGTATTAAAACACAATTGAATATATAGCTTTATTCAGAAAGTTAACAAAGGCAACCGCAAATCATAACAATCAGTGACACAAGTACCTAGAGACTACTACGCATGCACTCCACTAAAATATAATCATGCCATCTACATACAATAAATGAGGCTTTGAGATAAATACCCCTCCTATTCTATCCACTATAAAATCGTCTTTAGACTATCCTCGATTCCATTCAACTCAAAACCTCAATTGCCAAAATAAACATAAGACAAGGAGAGAAGTCTCCCTAAAGTCATAGATATGGCAAGAGAAAAACAAGAGAGAGCAATTCATTCTAGTGGATGATCAAAACATTCATATACAAGATTGTATTTACTTCTTCCATCTCTCTCGGAAGGTTGGAGATATTTCTAGTACATGTAATAGGATATCTCATTTGTGCATTTGGCAATATATTAAATAGCTTATATACATGAGAATTCCTATTCATGTATTGAACACTTCCTTGCCATGTATGGTGTCATGCGGTATCATAGTAGCTAAGAAGAATGGACACAGACACGGACACAGACATGTGACTCAACACGAACATGCCGGCATGTAATTTTTCAAAAATTGTAGAACACGACACGTAGGGGGATACGTGCAAAATATATAGTTCTATATATTTAAATATATCATGTATAAAAAGAAATAATTAATATATGTCATATATAAGAATATTTACTTCAATGATAATAATTTTTGAAGTCTAAAAAAGAAGAAAAATAATAAATTTACATTGCTTTTAAAAAAAAATTAAAAAAAAAAACATTCACGGTGTTTGGTTTGAGTTTTTTGTATTAAGTTTTTTGAAAACTGCGCTTTTTGATTTTCGTGTTTTTTTGTTTTTAGTGAATATTTTTAAAATTTTAAACATTTTTTTTACTTTTTTAGATGCACCTTACTTAGATGTGTCTAAAAAGTAAAAAAATTGTGAAAAAATATTTTAAAAAATTAAGAAATACATAAAAATACAAAAAATGTACTAAATTCTTGTTTTTTTTTTTTTTGTATTTTTGGTATTTAGTGAATTTTTAAAAGATTTTTTTTACAATTTTTTTACTTTTTAGGTGTATTTATGTTAGGTGTGTCTAAAAAGTAAAAAAATTGCATAAAATATTAAAAAAATTCAGTAAAAACAAAAAAATACGGAAAATAAGAGTGTAGAATTTTCTGAAAACTGTTTTTAAAATATGGGAACCAAGCAAAGTGATTGGATTTCAAGTTATTGTATTCAAACTTATAATGTGTTTCACGTGTCTAAATGATAGACATGTCCCCAAATGTCTAAAACATGTCTAAGTTCATAATTTCGTTTTTAAATAGTAAGACATTTTGGACATTTGCCCAACAAATATTTGGAATTGTTCATCAAGCATTGTGTCATGTCAGTGTCCAACACGGTGTCAGACATGACACGCTACCTTCTTAGAAATGTCCGTGTTTCTTAGCATAGTAGTGTCTACTGCAAGTTTCTACATGAGTATTATATTGGTTGGCCTTCTTTATGAAAGTTTTTACTTGCCTAAAAAGTTTCCAAAAGTTTACATATATCTCTGTACATATATACTATATGTGGTTATCCATTTTACCCATAGTTGTCAAATCGAGATTCGTATCATGAATCGAAATGACTTTGTACCGAATCGCGAATCGAATCGAATCGTGAATCGTAAAGATTTGGTCACTTTTTTAAAATTACGTAAAAATATATATTTACACATTTAGATATTAAATATATCTTATGAATATGAAATATTTAGACTTAAATTAATAAAAATGTTATTTTGAGTGATAATCATGCAATTTAATAGGTAAGTAGTTAACAAAGATTCTTATGTAAGATCTGTTGGCAAATAAATTTCAACTAAATTTATGACACGTATAGAGCCTATGATGGGAAGGTTGTAAGTAATCACTTCCCAAAAAAAAGATCAACATGATAATAAAACGGCATTGTATCTCAACGACGTTATTCAAGATACTCAAATGACACGTGAAGCCTACGAAAGATGACACATGTAGAGCCTACATCAAGGACACCACACAGGATGAAACCCCAAAGATCAATCGGGTTAATAAGATATACAATTAATCAGATAGCGCTATTATTTAAAATTCAAATGGCGCTATCAATATCTGCTTAACAAGATCACTATCTTACTTTTTTTTTTTTTAGATATTTCTTATCAACCATTCTTAATAAACTTAATAACCAAATAGACAAATTATCAATTTCCAAAATAACAATAATTAATAACGATATTGATATTTGGACAATAAGCATACATACTTTTCTAAGTAACAGTGAGCAAATAATAAGAAAGAATTATTTAGAATATTTTATTTTAAAGCCTAAAACATTTTCAAAGGTATAACAGACCTCACATATGTAATATTCAATTTAATAAAACAACAATAGATAATTCATAGTGTAACTTTAATCTTAAACATCTTTAGAAGATATATTATGATTTTTTAAAGGGAAAAAAAATGAGAAGAAAGGTTAAAAATATGTTGGGTCTGACTGAATCTGGATTCTATTAAAAACTTCATGATCACTAAAATAACAACAAATTATGTGTACATGTTGGTTATTTTGGTATTAAACGCTATTAAAAGTTGTATTATGTCATTCATTCTCACTAAAAACATGAAAAAAATAGTCGAAAATATGCCGGACACAATAATTTAAAAAATTACATGAATCATAAAAAGTGAATTGAATCACAAATCGATTGTGAATCGTGCGATTCACTAGAGATTTACTTCCAAAATAGATTCACCCATAGATTCGTATCAATTTTGCAAAAAATTTGAATTGAATCGTGAATCGAATCGCGAATCGTAAGATTTTGATAAAAGAGAGATTCACCTATAGATTCGTATCGATTTTGCAAAAATTGTGAATCGAATCATGAATCGAATCGCGAATCGTAAGATTCTGATAACAGAGATTTTACCAAAATGAGATTGGAATGAGTAAACTAGAATTTGAAAAATATTACTTAACAAAAGAGTCAAATTGTCTTGTTTGTTTCCTCTATTAGGTTCTTCCTAGCCTACTTCCGGGAACCTGTACAGCAAAGGACCCTTTGGGAAGAAACCATTCTATGGGTGGGGTGGGGAGGTTCCATATTTCCTTTAGATACACAGAGCCCCCGTGCTCCTAATGTTGAGCTAGAACTATTGCTACCATGGAATTTGCGATCACACGAGTACTCCACCTTCCAAAAAAGCAGCCTTCAGTTCCCTTTACTCGTAAAGGATCAGACAAACTCATTTGAAAAGTCGACTTGCTAGATCAGGTCATATAGAACACCAGCACATAGAAAAAGGGCCAAAAAAAACCAGTCCACGCTCCTTATTGTAGTTAATGTTCAACCATTAACCAACCTACTTTTCTTTATTCGATTAGGATTTAAAAATAAATAAATAAATAACAGTAATAATAAAGGACGAAAAAGCACAACCTTTTCAATGTCCAAAAATTCCAAATGGCTATTTTTTAAAAGGATTAGTTGTTATGAAAACCTCAACATTTTAGACTCTATCGTATGGATAGCATACTTTGATTTATATGAGATCTCCTCGATTATTAGCATTTGTAAATAAAGACATGTGCAACCAATGCATCATCAAACACGTCTACGTAATACATTGAAAATGAGCAAACTTATTATAACCTATGCGGTGCTCGAACAATTTTCATATACTTCTGTACATATATATTAACTTTCAAACTCTTTAATGAAAGATGGAACATTGTACCTTTTATGACTCAAAGGCAATCTTGATTCTTTCAATCACCCCTTATAGGCGACAAGCACCTAAAAGGATACACCCAAAGAGCATACCCAGTGCACGAGGGAAGGGTTGATGTACGCAGCTTTACCCTAGCAAACAGATAGGCTATTTCCGCGACTCGAACCCGTGACCACCAGGTCGCCAAGGGGTAGCTTTACTGAAAGCTGAAACATCTTCAGTTCTATACACCAATAAACACTTAGCGATCTTTCGTTATAAATGGTAGAAGTGTATCAACCCATTTAATCCAAGTGTAACAAACTGAAGCATTGTCAAGGCAGCCCACAAAAAGAACAATTTTAACGATTGGAACATTCAAACCAAGGAACAACTATGTTGAGTCAATCCAATTATTCCAATCTCCAAGGGGCTATACCAGCACCAGTTTTCCATGGCTTCTAAAATTGAAATCCACTCAATAATTACAACCATTTGGGTGTTTAAGAATTGGCTTTTTTAGTGGCTTTTTGCCTTTTTATGAAAAGATATACAGAAAAAGTATAGAGAATGATTTGACAACTTGTAGTGCCTTTTTGACATTTTGGCTAAAAATCAATGTTCCCAAACAAGCCCATGTTCGAGGTCAGTAAGTTAGAACAAAAGACAGCATTCTTGGTTCCAAGGAAACATGTAACCAAGCCACAGGAGTAATTACCACCAGACTATACCACTGCCCTCAATGAAATGTTCCAACCAAATAGATATAGAAAGCAAATAAAGAACTTTTCTAAAACTGTGCAAGGGAAACCAAAAATAAGTGTTTTTTTTTTTTTTTGCAGCGACAAAACTTGATTCAACGGAGAGAAGACAAAATGAGAAGGTTTTTACTTGGCAGACAATAAAAAATAAAATTGTGTTCACAGAAAACAACACAAACCCTGATACAAGCACAAAATAAGTTCTAAAACAAGAATCTTATAAATATTATAACTCTCACATATTGAACCCATTGTGTGACTTACCATGTTTGATTCTTCATAAGCTCGGTCAATTACTTCACTGCCAAAGTAAATTCAGTAGATTCTTCATGTCGTACAGTTCTGCATCTCTGCTAAGGGACCATTTAGTAACACCATTCATTTCTCTCTTCACATGATGATAAGAAATTTGATTCCGTACCTTCTCAAGTAAGACAATGCCAGATCTCTACTTTCTGAAGTTTTTTACATTTTGATAGGAAATTCTTCGGACTAACTTTTGAAATATGAACCATTTCTAATCTCAATAGTTTCAGTCCCTTTAGACTCTTGGCAATTTCAAGAGACAATTGTTGAGTTAAGACCAAGCCTAACAATTCTAGGGCTTCTAGCTGCTTGCAGTTTATGCCTATCGCATCAATGATACGAAAAATGTCATTATTGCATATAACTAGACCAATTGACATCTCCTCCATCCCGTTCCAGTAGCGGATTGCCCTTGAAAATCCTTCATGTTTAATATTTCTCCCAAAAGGTAGGGAGAGTTCTCTGAACAATATGAACAATAAAATTTGAGCATAACTTACATGAATTATGAACAAAGAAATTCTCTTGCACTGTTAAGATTTTTATACTCTCTCTTGCAAATAGTCCAAGTCCTTCACTAGTTGCTCAAATCAAACCAGAAACATTTACTGAATAAATTAGCAAGGAGATTATTTCTCAATAAAATTAAGGGCACATTGTTGTCTGAGAACTAATATAGAGGAAAGAAAATTCTAAACCTTCTTTTTTTTTTCAAAATGAAAATGGAAAAACAGAAAGTAATTTATCTATAATTTAAAAGTACAGTTGTTTTATTGTCTCCACGTAATGGTGGCTTACTATTCCACTACTCCTGCAATTACCCCACCCAATTAAAGGCGTATTCCATGTATTTTACTTAGAGAGAAACAATATAAGCCAAATCAGTGAGAGCAATCAGAGCACAAAAGGACAACATAAGTTGGCTGTTGGAAAGTACATATAATGTCTATCTGAATCATCAATTGCCGAAGAAAACTTATGTGGGAAAAGAATTATTATCCGCAAGATTCATATGGTAGTATAAACGTTGCAATAAGATAAGCAGGTCGAAGAAGGCATGTAGCATTATGAGAAACCCCTATTTGATAAGCACTAAGTCATAGGTGTGATATGACTTTAATATCCTTTGAACTTAGAGAAAAGGCCAATTCTTATATTAAAAAAATCTTTTCTTTTCTTTCTTTTAAATCATTTTTATTTATTTTTTTTTTTTTGAGCTATCTTGAGGCTGTTTTTGCAACCTACTCTTAGATATGAAACCGAGGGGATTCTAAGACTTTAGAACATTAACTGCTTATTCTTGCATTCTCCCACACGTTAAAAAAAGAATTATCTATTTTAATCACCAATCCTGATTCCTGCTTAATATTTCAGTCTAAGCTTACTATCACATAGCTAACAGGATTTCTTTCCAACAAGCCTTAAGACCATTACCCTAGCATCCAAAACCCTTACAACCTTGTTGCATAAAAATAAAAGATAAATAATACATAAAAAAAAATAAACTCTAGCATCTTTTCCAAAATTTCAACTAAATAATCACAATCAAATTTTCCTTACTATACACACAGATTAAAAAAATTTCTCCATCTGTTTTCATTTTCAAAAGCCAAAACCAACAAACTTTCAACCACCTTAACCCTCCACATAATGAATTATATATGCAATATTGTTTCATTGGACTCCACATAATGAATTGTATACAATATTATATTATTGGGTAGCACCCTGCCACATCACAAACAAATACACATGAAAGTAACAAAGTAAACACCAGGAAATATAACATACACATGCATATAAGGAACAAGTAAAAAATCTGTACCAGAGCAACAAAAATTATAGAATTGCTCCAAAAGATGAAAACCCCACTCTTTCCACTGCCTCTCAGTAACTACCAAATTATTCTCTAGCATTCTGACATCCCAAACAATTCTCATTTTTTTCAATTTTCTCAATTGTAGGTTTTCTCTCAAACAAATATATTAATTGTCCTTCAAACTACACCCAATACCTTTTCAAAGAAGTTATCAAATGAATTTTATGTGGCAAAATTGTTTACTCCATGCCTTGTAGTTTGATGGATAGCTGCCGTATCCGTGATACACAGACAGACAAACTACCAAATAGATGAATACATACATCACATACAAACTACTACGGAATTGGGGTCGCTGCTGTGTGGGAGGCACCCATAGCCACTGTTGCATTTTTATTCAGTTTTATACTTTAAATCACATTTACCATTTTTTTTTTTAGATACAAATGCAATTCGACGAAAGGACTATCAATATTTCTTCTCAATGTACCCTAACCCCGAAATGGGCCTATCGGGCACCCCAATTCCCATACCTTTCAAAGTTTTATAAGTCATTATCCAAATTCAGAATTTCCCAAAATGACATCTTTTAGACAAATTTGGACAACCTGATCTTTTAAAAAAAAAAAAAAATTGGCTAACTTAAACGGGTTTCAACCCTATTTCCACAAAAGTCAGATTTAAGACCAAGTCTTTAATTTCATTAACACTTTCATGCCGTTGGCATCAACTCAGTATTTAAATGGGGTTTTTAGTTTAAGTTACTGATATTAAGATTTTATAAGATAAGGTACGTACAATATTTTCTTAGTAATTGGGTCACTCAACATTTTCACAAAAATTCGACACACAGAAATTTCAATTCTCAGAAAAATTTCACCTCTTCTACTACCTAAAGTTAGAGAGGAATGTTTCACTAATTTTCCCTATTTAAAATTTTACTAAGTTGACACCAAAAAAATTGGGAAATTCTGAATATGGAGAAATTGATGTACCTTTCCGCAAGATAAAGAACCAATTGAAGAAGCCCAGAAGGAAACACCATTCTGGTAATCAAAGTAACCCTAATACCATCTTCATCATCATCGTCGTCGTCACGTCTATACACATCCATGACACCACGAAGAAATTTCATCAGAAACGCCTTCTTGAAAAGGGTAACTTCGGATCCAAACAGCCTCCGACAGCAATCGCAGTTGAGAATGGTAAAATGGAGGGTGTTGTCACCATCTTCGCCGAACAAATGATCGAAACAAACGCATCCCCAAGATCGACAAACCAAAGAAACGGTGGATATCAAGGACAGGGGTTTGGAAGAAGAACCCATCTCAGCATTGTTGTTGTTGTTAGCATCTCTTTTCCATTGGATTCTCTTGCTTCGATTGCTTCTCTTCCAAGTGATTGTCCTTCTCAGCCTCTTTTTGCTCTCCATTGTCTCTCGAATCCAATTGAATCAAATTGAATAGAAATCGAAACTGGGTTTTGTGGAGATTGGTGGTGGGGTTAGTTTTTTGAGGAGTGTTTGTTCGTTGATGGTGATGACTGAGTGTGTGAGGTCCCATGCTGCAATGTTGCCACTTGGAAGTGGTTAATGGGAATGCGTTATGAAATGAAAATCTACCTAATATGGAATCATCCCTATTATTTTCTCTCTTATTATTTTTAACCAAGTTAAATTATCACCGATTGGTAGTGTGCAACAATGGCCGATAATAGTTGCAGTAGTGTGAGGTGATGGGAGGAAAGATTGATCAATTTTAATTAAAAATATTTTTATCATATTTTTTAATATTTTTAACTTTAATTTTGATAGAGAAAAAAGTCCTTTTACTTCTCCTATAGGGGAAAAAAAATCCACATTTACTCGTCCTTTAGGAGGGAAAAAATCCACATTGAGATTCAGGGAATTGTCACCAAAAATTTTAAATTAGTCTCTTAAATATTTTTATAATTCCATCAGCTATGTTTTGGATAAAATGACACATTTGCTACAAGTTTACAAAGGACTTGTAATCCTAGTTTGGATATATTTGAAAATTTTCATATAAGAATCTTTCAAATTAAGCATTCCCATATACGAATAGAAAATAAAAATCCCATATTAAAATCCACAGAATAAGAATGAATGTTCTATCTGTTGAAATTCACTAAGCTACTTTTCTTATCTGTTCCATTTTTATTTTATCTGTTCAAATTCTCATACATACACACAAATATATAGAGAGAGGTCCAAGATTCCATGGGCTGAACTGAAAAAATTTAGACAAATAAAGGATGAATGCTAGTGCACCCAACAAAATTCAAAATGGAGTTTCTAAAGGGGCCAAGAATTTCTTGGAGCAAGAATTTCATGGAGGTAACAAAGTAAGAAATGTCAAATTCCAGGCATTACAAAGAGAATTTCAAAATCAAAAATTGAAAGATTCAGAAATTGTCCAAGTCTTTTTCTAAAGTCATGGAAATTGTTATTCAGCCTCTTCATAAATAGGGTTAATAAGGCTGCGTACAACTTGCCCTCTCAAATCCCACTTTAGCAAGAGCTTCGTGCACTAGATCGCCCTTGTTTTAGTCAAGTTTTTGATCAGATGAGTCAAGCTGTTTCTAATCAGAAAGTTATTAGAGAAAGTTCATCTTAGGTTTTAGGGTTTAGGTTTTAGGGCTTTAGGGTTTGAGATGGGTTGGGTTGTGTGTTGATGAAAGAAGAAAATGTGATAACTTATGGCCTACGCCAATTGAAAACCCATGAGAAGAATTACCTTACGCACGACCAGTAGCGGAGCCAGAAAATTAAATTAGAGAGGGCACTTATTAATTACAATATCGAAAATTTTTACAAAAATATTTTACGCAAGTTTTTACGATTGATTTCGAGAAATATCAAAAAAATAATGTTATTTATAACTAGTGTATCATGAACAATATAAAAAAATATGGATATAAGTCTTAAAATAAATTATAGGGTAAATTATAAATGCACCCTCTGAGATTTGATTAAAATACGAATCGCCCCCTGTGATTTTGGAAATTACATTTCACTCCCTGAGGTTTCTAATTTCATAACAAATAACTCATTTAATTAATGAATCATCAAGTCAATTAACAGTTTTTGATGATATTAGAAATATATTTCAATTAATAATTTAGGTAATTTTATTATTGTATAGAAGATCAATTATGAATTTTATTTTTTTAGTTAATTCTGTTAAATAAAAAATACTATCAAAGAGGTATTTGTAATTTTCCAAACAATAGGGACAATTTATATTTTAAGCAAATCTCATAGGGTGTATTTGTAATTTATCCTAAATTATATAATGATAAATTATTTTTTCATACAAAATTTGATTAAAAATTCAATATAATGGTAATATCACGTCATCATTAGTATGTGATACCACAAAATAATAGTAAATAAACACATAGAGAGTAAACATCCATGTCAAATGTAACTAAAAATCCAATAAATTTCATATTTTTATAGTGAGATTAATTATACTTGCATGTCAATAATAATGACATCACCGTTACATTCAAAAAAATTTATAAAATTTTCATAGATATTATGATTTATAGTAGTCTCTTCATTTTCAATCAAAACAACCATTATTATTCTCATAATTTTTAAAATGTCATTGATAATTCACTCTAATAATATTTTTATAATTTTCTTATTTAAAATATTTCTTTATAAAAAAAAAAAGCCTAAAATCCAGGAGGGGCACGTGACCCCCCTAGTCCCCAAGTACGTCCGCCTCTGCGCATGACCTAGAACTAGAGGTATCTTTGCCTTAAAAATTTGGAGGCATTATCTTTACAGGAAGAGGTTTGAAATGTTTTCCGATCATGAGAGTTTGAAATATCTATTCTCTTAGTAAGATTTGAATTTTAGGCAAATGGATGGAATGATTTTGAGCTACATTACAATGCATTGAGTAGAAAGTCCGTGAGCAGCATAGCAAGTATTGCCGTGCAGGAATGAGAGATGTTGGGTATTATTGGTGAATTTGGTTTGCGTCTTGGCGAGTCTGTTGAGTTGGTTACCTTGTTTACCGTTGTTGTACAACCTACTTTGGTTAGTCGAGTTATTGAGGCACAACAACACGACTATGAAGTGGAAATTATCTAAGGAAAGGTCTCCAATGGGAAAGTAAAAAAGGGTTGAACGTCTACTCCAATTCGAGTGTGAGATACTTAGAACGCTTGTTTGTACCAAAATCTTACTGAGAAAAAGTACTTCGAGAGTTCCACCATTTACATCTTGCGGTATATCTGAGAGGCACGAAGATGTATCATGACCTTTGTCGCTAGTTTTGGTGGAGGGAAATGAAGAGAAATGTGGCCTTATTCGTTTCGAGGTGCTTTACTTGTCAGCAAGTGAAAGCCGAGCACCAAAGACCAGTTGATTTGTTACAATCCTTACCTATAGTCGAGTAGAAGTAGGAACATGCCACTATGGACTTTGTTGTGGGTTTTCCGAGAACTTAATGAGGTAATGATACTGTTTAGGTAGTTGTGAATCGGTTAACTAAGTCCGCTCACTTTATTTCTATACGCACGGGAGACTCGGTGGATTTCCTTGTCGAGTTATATGTTAGGAACATAGTTCGACTTCACGGAGTTTCGGTGACTATTGTTTAGAATAGGGATCCGCGTTTCACGACTTGATTATGGTAAAGCCTTCAGAGTGCCTTGGGCATTAAGTTGACCTTTAACACTGCCTATCATCCTTAGACCGACGGGCAATCTGAGTATACTATCCAGTTTCTAAAGGACATGCTTCAGGCTTGTGTTCTCGACTTTAAGGGATCTTGGGAGAGACACTTACCTCTAATAGAGTTTGCCTATAACAACAACTTTCAGGCAAGTATAGAGATAGCACCTTTTGAGGCCTTTATGGCCGACCTTGTAAGTCACTTGTTTGTTGGGCTGAGATGGGTAATGCACCTATGTTGGGTCCAGAATTTGTCTGACAGATGATAAAGAAAGTTGCACTTATCTGTGAGAGATTGGTTTCGGCTTAGGTTTGTCAGAAGAGTTATACCGACCGGAGAATGAAACCCTTGTCTTTTGAGACGGGTGGCCATGTGTTTCTTAAAATTTCACCAAGAGGGGGTTTGTTGAGGTTCGAAAAGAGCAAAAAGTTGTCTCTAAGGTTTATTTAGTCTTTTGAGATTTTAGAGCGGATCAGGAAGGTAGCTTACTGTTTAGTTTTGTTGTCCCAACTTTCCAGGGTTCACAATGTGTTTCATATTTGTATGCTTTAGAGGTAGATTGGACTGATTTAGAAGTAGATGAAAATGTCTCGTATAAGGAGAGACCAACACATGAGAGCACGTCTTGTGAGGCAAGACTATCTCTTTGGTTAAGGTGTTGTGGAAACATCACGGAGTCAAGGAAATGACTTGGGAACGTGAGCCTGAAGTCCGTGATAAGTATCCGGACTTTTTTTGTTAACATTTAAGTTTCATTTCCTTGTAATTATAATTATGTTTTGTTATAATAAATGAGTGTAGTTAACACTTTGTGAGATTAATGTAGATATCGTGTTGAGTTGTTTGTCATGTTTTCTATACTTTTGAGCATACATCAGTTGATGTTGTTGCTGTGGGATTTATAGTGGGATGTTGTTTTTTGTGACGTAGATCAATTTCAAGGACGAAATTTCCTGAGGGGGGGAGCTTATGGCGGCCCGAGTTAAGACTCGATCCTTTATACTCCTTGGTTTGGGGTTTTGCATTTGTTGGTGTTATTGACATCTATTCTTGTCATATGTTGTCCTTTGAGTTAAGAATTAGGTTTTGGAGTTATGTTTAAAACAGGTTGAGGTTGGTATTTCTGGGGTTACTTTGGCTGTGTGAACTTGAGTTCGCTTTAGTGGTGTTTTGGTCCCTTGAGCGGTCTTTCCTTTCTTTCAGTTTTGGGTTTTCGCAGTCTAAACTTTTGAGAGTTTGCTTTTTTCGCTCAAGTTTAGGTTTCGTAGCTCGAGCAGTTTGTTCTGCAGGGTTGAACTTTTGGGAGTTTGGTTTCTTTGCTTAAGCCTAGTTTTGATAGCTTGAGCAATAAGTTGTATCTAACTCTCGATCGCAGATTTAATTGCTCAAGCAGTCTATTTGAATAAAACTATGAGGAAAGTCACTTTTTACTCACTTTTGATATCTCTCTCTTTACAAAAGATCTTTTTCCTTTTTGCTCTCACTTCTCTCTAGAAACCTTGTGAAAATCCTCCGATCTACCTTGGTTTGTGAATTTCATGGTCTTCGTGCTTCGGGATTAAAGGTTGAGCTTGAAGAGGGGGTCGTTTTAATAGGAAAAGTTTGAGTTTCCGTCTTTGTTAGTTTTTTGGTGTTGTTCATCTCTTTTTCTTGCATTAAGGTATGGATTTCTTTAATGGTTTGCATGTTATTTAGCCTTATTATGTGTTAGTTGGGTAAATTAATACTTTGGAAAACTTTGGATTTGATTAAAGCATAACTTGATTCATAAAAAAAGGGTTTTCGAGATGATTTCCTTTGAAATGTTTTTTGACTGTTTATGA